TAAAAATACGACGATTTCAAAATAAAATCAATAATTCTCATTCTCCGCTATCGAATTAAAAAGGATTGACTTACTATATTGAGACAAGAGTAACTTATATAAATGTAAGTTTATATATTCTTGCGGTTGGAATAAATTTTCCCTCCGTTTAACAACGCACGAAGTTGACACCACGATATTCGACAAAAGACGATACGTACTATCAGTTTATTTTAGATTTTCGACTTTTTCATTTAAGATTAAAATATTCCTTTCCCTATAATAAATATAGTTGGCGCTATATCGATCCTATTTTATGATACATTGAGGTGTAATAGCATTAGATCCGGAAATTTTTTCTGCGGGTGTAACGACGTATCTTTGTTATTTAGAGGATTTTATGGGAGGATTCTAAAGATCGTAATTGATCGAACAGTTTGTAATAGTTTATAATATATGCCCAACGTCGGGAAAGTTACGTGGTGGACTGCTGCGAAATATTATGAGTTCGATGTATCGGATCGCAAAAGATTAGAAAATTCGTTCTGCTTCTGTTCTTATAAAATTTGATAAGATTCGCAATGAACAATCTTCGGCAGCAGTCAGGAGTAAAAATACTCTTCGGCGAATTTTCCGCAGCTACTTCGCAGCGAGATAATTATAACTAATAACGGCGAATAAAGATCCATTATAAAAATAAAAATAAAATAGAATTGGACGGAAATTCCTACGAACAATAGGTAAGGCCTTGGAAATCGAGGAACTTGACTTTTCTCTATCCATTTATATCGTCTCCCTGCGAAGTAAACATGGAAAATTTGTTGAAATACATTTTTTACTGGAAATCTCGCCAAGTTAAAACAAATTTGACTTTGATCACATTGCAATCCAAAATTGGTGATAGGAAAGTCCTCTATTGTGAGACAGGATTCTAATATGAGATAGTAGATTTTCAACGTCCAATCACAAATCTTTATTCGAACCGATTACACGATCCAACAATCAATTTTCTACTAAACAGATTTCAGTCCAAGAGCAATAAATTTATGGTGGAACCAACAGATGACGCCTATTTATTTAGCAAAAACTCCGCTATGTCATATTAAGTGCCTATCTCATAATAGGGGACTTTCCTCTATTTAAAATTGTAAATGCGTTATCTGAAAAATTTGTTGAGAATATTTCTTATTGCAAGTCTTGTCAAATTAAAACAAATTAGTCCTTGATTGCACTACCGTCGGCATAAAAAAAAAGTGGTGAAAATACTATGTAAAATCGAAAACATGTTACATGGAAAATTTATGTTACAGCAAAGTTCGAGATCCTCCCCTGGATCGTTTAATCGAGGTCGAAACTTGACTCGGATGATCAATCGATCGCGTGTATCTATCGCCGTTACACACCGAAACAGAAAGGAGATCGCGTGCAACTCGAACTCCCGCGGAGGCTTCCCTCTCTCGAAGGTAAGGAAAGGTGTCGCCTGCCAGCGTTTGCATATGGTTCATTGTTGATTGCACAACAATGAACTCTAAACGAGGATAAGCGTGCACGGGCCTGTGCGCGCCAGGCATTCGAGTCCCTTTCGAGTCCTTTCTTCTTTAGCTTTACCGATGTGAGCACGTGTCGTTAAATCGATTTATGGCTATCGTAATCATTGCCATTCCCCGCACGTGCCTACGGATCTAGCGAACACCCTGCGTCCAATTGGTCATACGAATTGGATCAACTAGCCGGGATTACGAGTCCAATTATCGCATCTCAAATTCGTAAACCATTTAGAGGCAAAAGGCCCAAGAGTCTCTCCCTATCTTGAAAATGAAGAAACCCCTCCCTGTCTAAAACTTTTACTCTAATTTTTCTTTAACTTTAGAGCGCGATAGCCGTGCTCATAGTCTTCATCTCGCGTTAAGATTATTTTTCCGAGCCGCCACACGCGGACGAATCATTGCGGTGTTCCGCACGAATAGTGCAGAAGCGCAAATCTTCTAACGATGTCAAGATTATCAATTACGTAATTGTACACACACACTCGGGAGAGGCGAACAGAGAAAAACGTTAGTTGCGCAATTTCAAATTAAATAAAGCCCGAGGAGTGGCGCGGAGTCCAGTCCGATACTCCGGGGGTTCCGCGTCTCGAGTGTCGTCGGAGAGAGAAAAACTAAAAAGAGAGAAAAGCGGGTAAGAACTCTTATTTTCCCCATTTATGCATTTGCATTTATCGAGCGCCGCGTGACGCAGCCTACCGAGAAACGTAATCGCGGATGTGCCCCGGAAGAGCGAGCATGACTTGTGTGTCGTATTTATATTCGGATCTTACGTCCGCGCGACGTAAACTGAGACGCGTTCGACGTTTTCACTCCGCTCGCCTTCTATCTCGGGATGAGCGATGGGAAAATCGCTGGACCAGACGCATAGACATAAATTGTGTCTATGCAGGGTTGGGAAGTAACTCGTTACTGATCGTAACGAAGTTACAGTTACTTTTTTTGGTAACTCTAACTTAACTTCGTTACTTTCTCTTCATCTGTAACTGTAACTTAACTCAGTTACATTTTTTCGATAACTAGTAATCAATTTAATTAGTTACATTAACAGTTGCTTTTATATTTTTTTTAAACCTCCACAGATCGCATCAGGCCTTGCATTTGCGTATAAACGCATTTATCAACACTTTACAGTTCAAGTGCAGATTTGACGTTTTCATTTTCATTGCAAGAAAGTAACCGCGAGGTAACGATTCGTTACTTTTTGAGTAACTGCAACTGTGACGCGTTACTTTTCAGAATTGATAACTTGTAACTGTTACATCTTTAGCGCAAAAACTGTAACCAGATACTTTTATAAAGTAACTTTCCCAACCCTGGACGTAATATATCTAGACAGAGCATAGAGCAGTGGGGGTGGAGGTTCACGTAGAAAAGGACAAACTCTGTTCCGTGCCATTTCTGTGCCAAACTCTGTTCTGTGCCGTTCACATGCGAACGAGAGAGAACGAAATAGCACAAAACGGAGCTTGTCCTTTTCTACGTGAACCTCTACCCCCCCCCATTGCTCAAATAAAGGCAAACGTTCCGTCTAGATATATCACGTCTATGATCGGACGGCTATTACGCCCTATTTGGATTTTAACGGAATATTTCACGCGGCACGCGAGAGGACGGTGCTACTCCTCTCGTCACCTCTCCGACAGTTGTGCTCTCCGAGATGTTTTCTCCCCCGCGGCGCTCTACCTCGCGCCTTTCATTTCAGTCTCGCCCC